ACCTACTAACATATATACATAACAAAAAGTAGTTCTGTTTATTCTTCTGCATTCTCTACTTCATATATGGACATCGATCAATATATCATTGCCCATCCTTAGAATAAACTCTGCCTCTATTTGTTCATTGTTCTGAAATAGACTCTCCCATACTTAAGGTATTTTGAGAATACATGTGTATTTGGATATAAATATGATAAGAAGATGTGGGAGCACTGTTGCAGCAATATCTAAAGTGTAGAAGTAACTTTGTATCTAGATTGTTAAAAACTCGAGGGGTCCTGAAGTAGAAAGTATGAGCCATTATGATCGTCGTAAGGGAAGCCTTAGGAAGTATTGGTGAGGAATCAGAAATGAGAAAGCTGTAGATAATATATCACTCTGTCTCACACACAAGAGTTGCCATGATTTGAGCCTTAGTCAAAATAAAGAACAGAGTTTTGTTCTTCTTTTATTTTTAATTGAAAGTAGAATTTTTATTGCAGTATATTCTGATTCCAGTTTCCTCTCTTCCAACTCGCCCCTAATCCTTCCACCTCCTTGATTACCCATACTTTACCCATATTCCTATCTTCTCTCTCTCTCTCTCTCTCTCTCTCTCTCTCTCTCTCTCTCTCTCTCTCTCTCTCTCTCTCTCTGTATCTCATTAGAAAACAAATAGGCATCGAAGAAAAGAAAAAATATTCACTCACTATGGAGTCCTCCACGTATGCCCTCTGTTGGCTTTGCCTTGTGAGAACCAACAAGGTCAATAAATCCTTAGCCAAATTAACTAAAAGGTGGAGGGGAAGAATATCTAAAGATCCAAATAAATAAAATTAGAGGTGAAAAGGAAGACCTAACAATAGGCACTGTGGAAACCCAAAGAATCATAAAAACATACTTTAAAATCAAAACAAAACAAGCAACAACAAAACTATAACCTACCGAATTGGAAAACCTAAAAGAAAGGGATGAATTTGTTTATATACACCACCTACCAAAATTAAATGAAGATCAGATAAGCATTTAAGCAAACCTATAACCTCCATTGAAGTAGAAGCAGTAATTACTAGCTTTCCACTTGCATAAAGAAAGATCAGGACCAGATGGATTCAGTGTAGAATTCTACCAAACTCTTAAACTAGCATCAGTGTTCTTCAAATTATTCTGTAAAACAGAAACAGGGGGACATTGTATAATTCTATTATGAAGCCACAATCACACTGAGAGTTAAACAATATAAAGACCCAACAGAGTGAATTACAGATCTTTCCTATATGAACAAATATGAAAATGTCCTCAATAAAATACTTTTAAACAAAATTCAAGAATACATAAAAAGATCATCCACCACGATCAAATAAACTTTAGGGATGTAGAGATGGTTCAATATATGTAAATGTATAGCTATAATTCACCTTATTAACAGACTGAAAGCCAAATCTATACATTATCTCTTTAGATGCATATAAGGTCTTTGAAAAAATAAAACATCCCTTCATAATAAAAGTGCTAAATGGACTAGGGACACAAGGAATATAGCTTCAAATAACATAGGCAAAGTACAGCAAGCTCATAGCTGACATCAACCTAGGTAGATAGAAACTTAAAGCATTCCTACTGAAATCACGAACAAGACAAGCTTGTTCACTTTCTTCTTAGCTATTAAGTATGGTACTTGAATTTTTACTTAGAAAATAAGACAACTGAAGGATATCAAAGGGATTGAATTAGGAGGGAAAGACATCAATGCATTCTTTCCAGAGTAACTCATGATTGGGCAAGAAAATGTATGTTTTCTAAACTGTGGCAATACATGTAGAAGGCTCTTATATCTAGCCAAAGTTTGTGGAAGGTAGAGCATTGAGTGGTTAAACTGGGTATTTTACTGAGTTAATTTCCATGAGAAGTTCTGCAGAAGCAGATTTGTTCCACTTATATATTTAATGTATAACATTTTAAAAGAGAACTGATTTTTAAAATGGAATAATTATCCACAAGAAAAGCAGAACTTATACATTAGAAATATTATTGATTTATTGTGGTTAAAAATTATGATTTTAAACAAGTCTGGGAGGAGACATCTAAAAAAGACGTTTCAGCAACGGAAAGCATATTAAGGATGTGACCAAATGGCTTTCTGAGAAGAAATAATCCAACTGTCCTAAGAAAACCCAAGGTGTGTTGTCTAAAATAATAACAACATTATAAACCTCAAGTACAAGAACCAGGAATGGACTACCATTCTAAAGGCAAGACCACTGATCATTCAGGTCAGAGGCTATTGGAACCATGAATGGAGATGTTGTCACCAGGAATGAAGGCTTGTAGAGCCATCTGATTGTAACTTAATTCAGGAAATTCACAGATCCACGCCTGCAGTCTATGAGATCCTTGCTGTAAAAGCACCCACTCAAATTATGGGTGAAGGAACTTCCTGGAAGCTTGAGAGTCTAATAGTTACTTGACAAAACTGTACAGCACTAAACCCATGTGCATATAGTGTGGAACTTCTTTTCAAGGGTACCAGGAGGTTCAACATGATACCAGAGAGTATGATTAAGCATTAGCCTTGATGGTTAATGATGCTTCCTGTGTTAGGCAACAGACCAACCAGGGACCTATTTCTTCTTTATATTTCCAATTTTCTATTTTAGGAATGGGATTGTTTCCTATGACTATCTCACTCTTGTATGCGGAAATGTATGACATGTTGATCATTAGGACATAATTGAGAACAATTTGACCCAGGATGAATTGTAATTGGAAACTTATTCATACTGAATTTAGGTGATATTTGAGTACTACTTTGAACATTTGATTCTTGTTCTAACAAGTAAATTAAGGTTTTTGAAAATATTGAAATATGGAGGATGCAATTTACATGTGAGAGGCAGAATTTCATTGTCTTGATACTTGTGTATCCTTGGAATATTCATTTAGAACTCTCCATCCCTAGGTGTGGCTTTTGAGAATTGGTTGGGAAACAGTGGTATTTATAAAGGGGGCCAAGATGGAAAGTCCTATATATTCCAGCAAGTGAAGACCAGAGAAATTGTATCTCAGTATAGTCAATGGGTAAGCAAAGTTGTGGATATTGGTAATGAACCTACAACCACTATTTCACTAAACCAGCATAATCCCTACCAACAGTCCAAACATTTGTCCTATACTCACAGTTAAGCATAGCCTTCACCCCTCATCAAGGAAACTTCTATTTGCAGCACATGGAGGTCACTACAGGAACTCATAATCAATAGAGACGTAGGTTCATGGAACCCAGTGCCAGTGGACACATCAATAAGAAAAGGCTTCCACATATACGTTTCAGGGAACATGGCAGGAGAGGGAGCGGTATGTAAGAGTGCACTGTGGGAATGTGTCTCCTTATACTATCAGAAGCTACACCCATAAATTCCTATCACTAAGAATGCCTAAATGTGAGCTGAAAAGGAGGACACTTACAAACAAGCAAAACTGGAGGGGATAAACTCAATAGACCCCAACCACACACAAAGAACTACAGGCAAGTACGGAGTACACAGAGTGGGAGAGATCATCATCTCAGGGAAGAGTACATCAATTAGTTATCCAATACTAAAGGGTCATTCCTGAAAACATACAAACAAGTAATGTTACACAGATACACAGATATATATATATGCATGGATGGAGGAAAGGAAAGGGAGAATGTTGTAATTATAATCATCTATTATTACACAGAGCAAATATAATACAAATGAGTTTACACAATCAATACATTCATAAGACAAATATGATTTTAATCATGGAAGTCTTTTTTGAAAGGGAGTTTAACAGAAAATTAGTAACAATAATAAAGTCCTTCCTCCAGTTCAGACACTGGTGTGAAGGTCATCTTGAACTTTTGTGTGGATTATAAGTTTGTGAATTACTTTTAAAAAATCTTATATCCTATAACCAAATATTTAAGAGCTGAATAAAGCAAATGCAAAATCAAACCCAAGCACTGTGGGATGAACAAGGTCTTTGGACACACCCATGATTTCATTTACACATGGAGGAAAAAATGCAAAAAGACAAGTTTGGGTTCTCAATTAGAAGACATTTTATAGAGTGCATTAAAGCAGTTATTTTTCCACAAATATATTTGTGTGATTCCCCAAATGTAGAAATAATGTCAGTCTTCCAACTGCAATATTTCCTTTTATCGTATTCTGAAAATATTTTACAGGATAAAATGAGAAGTAGCAGCCTAGTTCAGTATAAAGGTTACTTAAGAACTAGAACACACACACAAGTACATATGCACATACACATCCATATTCCAACACAAATGCAGACACACATATACACACATATGAAGTTTACAATGAAATGAATGCATAGTATTCAAATATCTCTGCTAATGACTTTTTATATGGCCCTGTGATTTCTTGAATTTTGAACAAATACTTGAAAGTCCCTAGACATTTCCTCTACTATTATCAAAGAAGTAAATGAACCCTGACACAGTTATTTCACATTAGCCTGGATTTTTTAAAAAAGTGTGTGTTCATCCTTTATCAAAGCATACAATTAAGCTACTTTAATAACAAAGACTAAACACATTTTAAAATAAATGTACATTTCAGATGTGTTTAATTGTCCATATTCTACTATATTTAGCCCCTAAAGTTAGAAAATAGAATTTGATAACTAATGTAATATATGCGGTATATATGTATTATTTTACTCCTCAATTAATTATATTTATCAGACAATGTAAACATTTACTCTTTGAGAAATAGCTTTTGCTGTTTGCATTGGTTTATTTTCTGTTTGCTGTGTAAAAATGCTTGACAAACACAATGGAAGGAAGGGAGGGAGGGAGGGAGGGAGGGAGGGAGGGAGGGAGGAGCCCCATTGTGGCTCACATTTGGAGGGTAATATCTATCCCTGTAAGTAATTCATGGTAACAGGTGGAAATGATCAAACTGTATCCTCAGTCAGGAAGTGGGCCGTGATGCATGTCCATGCTATGCTAGTGTTCTTTTTGCGTTCAGCCCTAGATTCCATCCCATGGAACAACAGTAACTCCCACAGGTAAGTAGAATGTTCTGTTCTATTACGACCTTGAGACTATCACATAGGCATGCCTGAAGATTCAAGAAAATCAGAGAATATCTGAACAGCATGCAGGAGGCTCATCTCCTACATAGTTAATTCTAGACACTGTCAGGTTAATAATATTAATAATTGCAGTCTTCTTCATATGACTCTTGCAAATATCATTATGTATACTTAAGTTATGTACTTCTATTTTGTATAAAAATGTAGGAATATAAATACAACAATAAAAAGGAGCATTTGAAAGAGAGCGAGGAGGGGTATTTGAGAGAGTTTGAAGGAAGGAAAGTATTACAATACCAAAAATAGAACAACTAATGAAAAATAACAGCAAGCGAAGTTGAAACTTGTCCTTTCAAGGTTGGCAAGTAATTTTTTCTGGGGTTTTGACAAGGATTGCATTGAATCTGTAAGCTACTTTTGGTAGGGTGACTATTTTTACCATGTTAATCCTACTGATCCATGAGCATGGAAGACCTTTCCATCTTCTGATCTTCTTCAATTTCTTTCTTCAAAGACCTCAAAGCTTTTAATCATACAAGTCTTTTGCTTGAGTGGTTAGAGTTACCCCAAGATATTTTACATTATTTGAGGCTATTGTGAAATGTGTTGTTTCCCTAGTTTCTTTCTCAGTCCATTTGTCATTAGTATATTAAAGGTCTACTGATTATTTTCGAGTTAGTCCTGTATCCAGCTTCTGTGATGAAAGTGTTTATCAGCTGTAGGAGTTCCCTAGTTGAATTTTTAGGGTCACTTATGTAAACTATCATATCATCTGAAAATAATGATACTTTGACCTCTTTTTTTCCAATTTGTGTCCCCTTGAACTCCTTCAGTCGTCTTATTGCTCTAGCTAAAACTTAAGGTACTACATTTAAAAGATATGGAGAGAGTGGACAAACTTGTCTTGTCCCTAATTTTAGTAGAATTGCTTTGAGTTTCTCTCTATTTAATTTGTTGCTTCTGTAGGCTTTCTGTAAATTGCCTTTATAATGTTTAGGTATGCCCCTTGTATCCCCAATCTCTCAGAACTCAAATCATGAAGAGGTATAGATTTATTTGTCAAAGACCTTTGCTGCATCTATTGATATGATTACCTTTTGTCCTTTCTGTTTATTTATATGGTAGATTGTAGTTACTGATTTTCATGTATCAAACCATCCCTGCTTCTTTGGGAGGAAGCCAAGATGGGTAAAACAATCCTGAACAATAAAAGAACTTCTAGAGGTCTCACTACCCTTGATTTCTAGTTTTACTGCAGAGCTATAGTAATGAAAAAAGTATCATATTGGCATACAAACAGACATATTGATCAAAGGAATCCATTAAAGACCCAGGTATATATCCAAATACATATGGACACCTTGTTTTTCATAAAGAAACTAGAAATACACACCGGAAGAAAAACAGCATCTTCAAGACATGGTGCGGGTCAAACTGATGTCTGCCTGTAGAAGAATGCAAATAGATCCATGTTTATCATCTGAGCACTTAAGTCCAGGTAGATGAAAAAAACAGCATAAAACCAGATATACAATGAACCTGACATAAGATAAAGTAGAACACAGCCTTCAGCACTTTGTTTTTCTATTGAGAGACAGAAAGTGAGTAGATCTGAAAGGGAGACAAATTGAGGAGGAGCTTGGAGGAGTAGAGGGAGGGAAAACTATAATCAGGATATATTGTAGAAGAAAATAACCTATTATTGAGAAAATACTTTGTACATCAAGACAGTATCTTATTAAATGGAAACACTTTGTCTTTATTATTGCTACTTTCAACAGTCAAGAATCAGTCACATGAATGCCTTCCCTGATTGGGACACTTCTCCCAGCTATTTCCAATAAGCGAGTGTGATGTTGACATACATTACCACAAGGTTGGCTCCAAACTTGCTTGCTCGTCTCTGAGATTGTCAACTGACTACAGTCTGATCTCAGGTTCTACAAGATTACAAATAATTAATTCAATGTTTTAGACACTTCTTACTGACTCACCTTTCCTTGGTTTGTGAGTACAGATAACGGAAGAAGCAGAAATGACTGTGGCTGAGCATGAGTGTGCACCAGCAGACTGTAAATGTAGAAATCATTCTGACTTTACCCCCCACAAGATGTTTCCTCTGACATAATGATTGGCATATACTGGTGAATTTTTATTTATAACCTTTTGCTTTTACAGAGATCTTCATTATTTCATGGTGGTGTTGTATCTTTCAATTTTGTCTTCAGAGCCTAGAAAATGAAAACAGGAGAAATCAATTGCACAGTCTGTGTTTAGATTCCTGAAATTGTTTGCTAATGTATTCACTACACAGCATAGGTCCACATGTCAGAGTTCTCAGGATCTATACCAGAAAATATCAAGGAGGCACTAACAGTTCCCTGAGAATGGTGAGGGGTAGAAACCCATGGAGAGGTGAAGGAGATGATTCTTGGATGATGCATAAAAATAGTTAATGCTTTCTCTTTAACTTACTTTGAAGTTGGGAGACATTTTGAATTTCAGCAGGAGAAGACTGCAGAAATGAACTCAGTGGGTTTCCCTGATAGCCTTTAGTGAATGCTGCTGGGGCTTCTATTTTACATGGGTTCTGCTCTGGAACATGATAACAGTCAAAGGATATATTCTTCAGGGAGGGGAAGTTGAAAGAATTCAGAAGTCATTAATTCTCCTAGTCAGTTAACTATACACAGAAGCAATGAGAGATTTCTGTGGGTGATACTGGCTAATTGGATGAGTTTTGAAAGCAGTGAGCGATCATCAGTATGCCACTCTCTGGAACTAGCAAAGATCATTAATAGTAGCTCAAAACAAGACACTGTTGTTGACTATATTCTCCTTGTTGCAACAAAATGCCTAACAACTTAGGGAAGGTTCAGTTTGGATCCCAGTTGGAGTGGATCATCCATCGCGATGGGGAAACCATGTCATTGGAAATTTGAGAAGCACAAAGTGATGAATGCTGGTGTTCAGCTTGCTTTTTTTTATTTACTTAATCTTGGCCCAGAGCACATGGAATGCTACTATTGAGGGAAGATCTTCTCATCTCAGTTGACACAACTGGAATGATTTCTCACAAACATATTCCTGGGAGAAGAGTATGTATGAGGTGTTTTTTCTCAGTCTGAAAATTATGAAGAATGCTTAACAGCAACAACAACAAAATACCATACATTGTTCAACTAACAATGATATTTTTGTCATGGTTGCAATATTAATTTTAAGATGTTGTTGCTTATCCAGGCATGCTTGGAACACACTCATTTTCTCAGGATTTGAGAGTCGTAGAAGATCAAATGAAGTCAAGGCCAGCCTGGGCTACACAGTGAGACCCCGTAAATGGTAAGTAGTTCCTGTTCAGCCTGTTACTACATTGTGACAAATGTGCTTTTAAAGAGGAGAGATTTATTTTGAGTCAGGTTCATGAGTTTCATTTCGTGGTCACTTATTCTGTTTCATGGAGCTATGTTGGCACAGTTATAACGATGGAACTGTATGGTATAGAAAAAATCTACATATTTTGTAGTACTGGCATTCCCAATATCCCCTTCATACTCATTCTTATATTAGACTGCTTTCCAGTAGATTCCACCTTCAAAACGTTCTATCATAACCCAGTGGTGTCAAAAGCTAGAGACCAATCCTGACATGACTGCTTCTGGGAACATTCAAAACCCAAACTATGGCTTGCTGTCTGCAATACCCAGCCAATACAACATTTATTTGCATGGCTGCAAACCTAGGTAAAGCAAACCTAGGTAAAGAGAGGAAAGCTACAAGTAAGTTGTTTCTCACAATTGTGTTATCCTAAGTCAGCAGCTCTTTTTATTTTTTTCTTGATTAATATTTATATCATTTTATTAATACTTAGAATGATTATTTTTAATTCTATGTTTAATAAAAATGTAAAAATACAATAAGGTATATTTAAAGACATAAATGATATGAATTCTAAATAACTATTGAGGGTTTTAAAATGTCCTTCAGTTGATACCAAATATATCTTATATCCTAAAGTGTAAGGGATTGGAAAAAAGAAATTTTTAAGAAAAACAGTTTCTAGGAAGAGGAAATAATTTACTGTTTTTGAAAAATATCTCTCCAGACATTATTTTTATGTTATTGTATTTATAATAAATGTAGAATAGCACAAATTATCATTACCATCATTGAGAGCTATATTTTTCAAATATTTTTATGTGATTCAACTTATATAAGAATGCTGATCACATTTTTATTTTTATATCATCTTTTAAAATAAAATTATTGAATTCAAGCAAAATTTCAATTTACTGTGAATTTTTGTATTGAGAAAGAATATCTATTTTGTGTACTTTTAATTAGTTCCTCAGTGCATCAATAATATGTTAAAATCCCAAATAAGGAACATATTTGTGGATAGTTTGGTTAAAATCCATTCCCATGGCACATTTCCCTGTCCACATTACATTTATCTAACAAATTCAATTTTTGTAGGTAGAATTTAGGTTTATTGAGAGATTGTTAATATAGATTTTAAGCATGATGTTTAATAGCTAGAAATAGGGACACAGGAAAATATTTAGACATACATAGAGCATAGGTGTGAAGTCTCTGGATGTCACCTGAGATTTCTGTTTCCACATTGGAACACCCTATTCTTCCTTTTGGGAATATTTTGTTGAACTCTTCTATTCATCTGCCCTTGACTTTTTATTAAATTGTTAGTTCATAATGTGGGTATGTAAGTCATATATCTGTGAGCTGACTGACTGACTTTTCCAATTTGATTTTGCTGAGGGTAACTTTTAAAGACAATGTGCAGTCATTTTGAATGTGTGTCTGTGTTTCTCAAGGCACAGTAATGACAAGCTATTGATATTACCTAATGTGTTGGACCATTGTATAATGAAGACTCATCTAGAAAACTTGCTGAGGAAATCGGGTAGAGACAATATCACAGAAAGACAGTAAAGGAAGCTTGAACCTAATAGTAGACAGTAATGGTTTAAATCAGTAATATGAAACCCTAGCTCTGAAAAACATACAGACTTGATATGTTACAAAAATTAAGCAAAAACTTTGCTGGTATTTCAAACAATTTAATTTTTTAAATAAAAAATTAATGTTCCTGTTGATTCCACATTCAATATGATGTTAACACTTGTAATATCAGTATCATGCATGTAGAAGCAAAAAAAAAAAAAACCACAGGTCTCACTTTACAGGGCATGAGGAAGATCATGCCAACAAATCAATTTTTGGTCACTTTTGGTATTTTCCTCGTCAGTCCAATCTCCATTTACATCCTATTGTTACATTTTATTTAAAATTATAATAATACCTGTAAGCATTTTAGGTCATAAACATGGTCTGAAAATTAACCTGAGACAATTAATTGGTATGGAGATGCAATTCTCTTCCTTAAGTTTGTACATTTGGTATTACTTATAACTTATTTGAGACACTGAGTGCTATTGTAAAATTTATGTGCCACTAATGGAGAAAATTACTTCATAACTATTCAATTCTGTCTGGATACTTGCTATATTTTATCCTGCCACTCTTGTTTTGGAACCTATAATTTTCTGTGAATCTCATAGAAGAATTTTAAAGGATTAAAAAATGATATTAATCCTGCAAGAAAATAATGGAAACCTAGTCAACTACCTAGGGTGAGTGAAGCCATGGAGCTTCATGGGGAACCTACAACCCCCCTTTACTAAACCAGCATAGTCAGTAACTGCACTGTAAAGAACAAAAACAAAAACAAACAAACAAAAACGCGTGCTTATATCCAGGGGTAAGAGTAGTTTTTACTGTGCCTCATCAAGGAAATTTCTCTTTAAAATAGACAGAGGCCGTCACATAAGAACCACAAACACATGAATGCAGAGTTATAAAGCAGAGTTCAACCATATACATCTATACTGTAACTCCCATTCATAAAGCTTGGGATCACTAAAAAAGAAAAATCAGAAAGATTTATGAGTCGGAAGAACAGGCAGTTTGCTGTGAGTTTGACTCATCTAGGAATCTCAGAAATCCATTAATTCTCACTAAGATGAACACCTAAGTATGAGTTGAACAAAGACAAAAACAATGGGCATGTTGACACAGACAATGGAAGTCTCAGGTTGTCTCAAGCCTATAGAAATAACTACAGTCATCTAAGGAATGGTGAGTGGGAGAAATATTCCTTTCTAAGGATGAGAAGACCAAATGGCTAGCTCTGAATACACACATGCAGGTAACATTATACAGTGTAAATATGTTATACTCATGTAATGAGGAGTTAAGAATATCTTCCCATCTATCATCTATGTATTTATATATCATATCTGTGCATATAGCAGTAATTAATAAAATATAGACTGAATTTGAAAGAGAGCAAGCATCAGTATACTACAAGATTCAGAAGGAAGAAAGGAAAGTGGGAAATTATGCAATTATAATCTCTAGTAAGAAAAGAATACGAACTTTTTAAAAAAAGGAAAATCACTCTACAAAGAACACAAACTCATAGTCACTTTAGTAACATGAAACATAATGCAGATATAAAGAAATTTATGCAGTGCTTTTGGTAATTTGGTACTTTATTTACTTGTTTCTTTTAATACAACGTATTTTCCTCATGTTATTTCCCCTTCACAACTCCTAAGTCCTCCTCACTTTCCCATTCCTCCCAGTTCCCCACCAACCCAAATTCATACTCCATACTCTTTTTCATTCTCGCTCTCTCTCTCTCTCTCACACACACACACACACACACACACACACACATCCATCAAAACAACAATCATGAGATTCGCAGGCAAATGGATGACACTAGAAGAAACCATCCTGAGTGAGGTAACCCAGTCACAAAAAGAGAAACATGGCATGTACTCTCTCATATATGGATTTTAGACATAGATCTGGGGAGTGCCAGCCTACAATCCTATTGCCAGAGAGTCTGGGAAACAGAAACTTCATTTACTGGCTGGTTAAGTACTGAGCTGAACTCAAGAAAGCCAGTATCAGAGAGGGAGGACTGATGATCAAAGGGATTAAGACTGGGCTGGTTGAACCCCCAGAAACAGCTGACCAAACAAAGGTTAACTCTTGAATCCCAGGCATCAGCCTGGGAATCCAGCATGGGACTGATCAAGACCCCCTGAATCTGGGTGTCAGTGAGGAGGCCTAGGTAATCTATTGAGCCTTGGACAGCAGATCAGTACCCATCCCAAGTATACACACGGTCTCTGGACTCCCATAGAACAATGTGAGGTGCACTCTCACCCTGAACTCTTGGGGAAGGGTCTAGGCCCTGCCCTATATGAAATGACAGACTATGGACACCCCCATGGAGGGCCTCACCCTCCCTGGGGGAATGAGGGGATAACGGGGGGGGATGGGGGAGGGCACGGGAGGAGGGAAGGGAAAGGGAGAGGGACCTCGTACTGACTTGTGAAGCAACCTTGTTTCTTATCTAAATTTAAAATGGAAAATAAAAAAAATATTAATAAAAAAAAACCAAAATTAACAAAAAAAGAAGGGAAATACAACAAGCACACAAACTATGGAGTCAATTTTGTGTTAGTAATTTACACTTGGGCAAGGTGTCTACCCTAGCACATGAGTGATACACCCGGTGACAGTCTATTGGAGAAAACTGATTTCCCCTTTACCAGCAGGGATCATTTGCAAGCCGCTTCATGGTTGGGAATGGAACTTTTTCTCCACTTCTGCCTCTCAAGTGCTGGGATTTTGTCTGGCTGGAGCCTGTGTCGATCTTCTGTGTGCTGCTGCGGTGTCTATTATTTCATAGGGGCACCAAGTTCGTGTCTGGAAGACACTGTTTCCTTGGAGTTGTGCACCACTGACAGCTCTCAAATTATGTCTTCCTCCTCTTCTGCGGAGCTTCCTGAGCCCCGAGGCAGGGAGTTTGGATGTTCCTATTTGGGCAACTGATTGATTCCTCTGTGTTTAATGACACAAGTTAAGTTGTGTTTTTATCAAAAGGGACTTTATCATCAGGTTATGGAGAATTATCGATAGTTTTGGCACTATCCTTCAATGTTAGAGGGTTCTACAGGACCCCTCTGGGCAACAGTCAAATCATAAATTTAATGATACTATACCCTAAAAAGTACTTAGATCTTCCTTCTATGTGGAGATGAACTATATTTTCCAGTGAGAAGTATTGAGTGAAATCTTATTGAACATTTCAGAAGTCACACATTGCTCTCTATTCTATAGTAGCATAATAACTACCCATTCTTATATTTTAGCACTGTTACCACTCAAAATCATCAAGAAAGATCAAGTCCTTGTTTCCCTATTACTTTCTAATTCTGCTCCACAAGGTTAGCAAAAGTTCACTTGCCTTGTCAGTTAAGTTTCTAAATCAGATGAATTATGTTTTCTATAATTGAGCTCACCACAGTTAATTGCCTAATAGACTGTGCCTACACTAACTGAAAAAATGAATTAATTGCTTGAAAAAGAATGTCTTCTATTTTTCAATCATATCTATACAATTGTGTTACAAAAGTGCACAAAAAGGCGCTTCTGTATGAAGACCTATGTCCACAGCAGAATTAGACTTCAATTAGACATGTGCCAAAATCTTGTACCTTTCTATGAGTATATGGAAGTCTGAAAATAAGAAACATGACTGATTAATTGAAATTCTTTGTGAAGCTGAATTAATTATAGTTTTTTTCATTTTGCTACACAAGAAAATAATCGTAGATACTTGGCAAAAATTTAGATAGTTAATAAGGCGACATTTAACCCTGTCATCCTAGCAAAAGTCTATTACTTGGTTCCTAGAAGTTTTCCAAATCTTTCCTGAAAACGTGAGATGCATGAAAATATTTCACATTTATTATAGTCATTTGTAAGAAGTGTATACACAGCTTCCTTCGGTAAGTCAAGGTAGCCATACTAATACCTCCCAATTTCATCTTTTAACACATAAAATAGAACTCTGATGAGAAAAGCTAGAAGAATTAAATATCTCTTGCTACTACACTGTGGTGTATTTGTTTCCATAATTGGAGACTTGAAAAGCAATATAGTCAACCTTAGAAAATTCATTTAGTTCAAATTACTCAAGTCACACTCAGAAAGTCTTTAAGTCACTATATTCTAAAATGAATGAGTTTTGTAGTATTTAAATGTCATTTCAACTGCTGAATCTTTTATGAATATATTTTTTAAAGCTTATACCTTTAAATGAAGTGTTCAAACACAATGCTAGAGCAAAGGCTAGAGGAAGCCAAGCTTATTGTTAAGGAACATTTGAGATATATGATAAGACCAAGGAGTACAGTAAGCCTATTCATAAGGAAGAATCTATTCATAATTCTAGTGGGGAGAAGTCTGGCCAGAAGGCTGAGTAACATTATAAAAGAACTAAAAATAAAATAAAACTTGTCATTTTTCCATTCCTCTACCACCACGCTCCCTTCATTTTATCACTTCATTAATCAATTAAAGCTGATATTTATTGTTTAAATAGACTTATGTGTGTTAAAAGTCAAGAGAGCCCAGGCATGCTGTGTAAGCATGAGGAGCTGCTTCAGAATCCGGACATTCACCCACAAATACCGGTGTGGAGGTAACTCTCCTGGAATGCCAGTGCTGTGGGTGGGAGACAGGCAAGTCCTGAAGCTCATTGGCCAGCCAACATAGAGGAAATTAATGAACTTCAAGATTATAGAGATGTAATGCTTAAAGAAATAAAGGTAGAGAGCAATAGAGGTAAAACACCCAAAATAAACCTTTGCCTTGTATGCATACCCAAATGCTCTCAAATACCCATGGTGCACACATGCATTCACCACACACACACACACACACACACACACACGCACACACACACACAGAGAGAGAGAGCATACATGTAGTAGGAATAGAAGTATCCTACTGAAGGTATTATTGATTAAATAGAGTCCAAAGAAGTACCCTTAGACTTATTTATGTATCGCAATAACTTCCTATGTCCTTCTGTTTAGCTAACGACACACAGTTAAAAATTAGCAGTAGTTCAATATTTAAATGCTTCTAACAGAGTTGATTCCCTGAGCTCCTTCTAGGCAGATGGAATGTCAGCTCTTAGCTCTTCCAAGTGTGACCTTGCCTGCTCTGTCTCAAGAGAATGTAGACAGGCCCATGCTTACTTGAAACAACATGAAGCAGAAGAAAAAAGGGATGGGGGAGCCAGAGACTTGTAATCCCACCACTCCAGAGGCAGAAGCAGAGGAAAGCATAGAGACAGCCTTGCCTTGTTCACTTCTCTATTCCCAGAGCTCAGAAGGGTCCTCAGCATACTACAGATGCTCAGTAAATATTGATTAGATGCAGGAATTTGGGGAATTCTGGAAGTGAATGTGGAAGCCTTTTACTGAGCCGTGTTCTCCAGAAAGACTAAGAAGAAAAGATTGAGGAAGAATTGACAATTTGAGGCATAAACTGTCCCTGCGTATAAAAAACAAAGAGCTGTTTGTTACAGTTCAGTCCTTGAAAATAGGTGTGTTATGGAGAAAGCAGAAAATAAGGTACTAGGGAAAGACTAAGTGTAATCTAAACTCCTTGGTATGACTCAAACGTTCTCTATCTTGGAGACTGGTTAACTCAGATAGCCTGCACACACAAGAGCACTCCACAGATGTAGGAAAGCCTAGATCACTTGGGTTCAATCTGTAGCTCATGGGCTACGATGTTGGACCTTGTTGCAGATGGCAGTGTCAGAATGCAATATCCAACAGTCTAACACCCCTTGTCTGGAGGGTGAGTATTTGAGGACAGCTCTGCATTCTTCCTTTTGTAGCATTTCTCTGCTCTGCTTCATTTATAACCTTCTGTGCTAGAGCACTGCTCCCTGGAGTGTGTTCCACATACAATGAAGCACGAGACCATTACACTCTAGTTTCTACTTCCGGTCCTTCTCAGTGCCATCTATGCAAGAGTCTCATGTGATTCCAAACAGCCACAATTCTGTGAACAAAACTTTCCATTCCTCCATGGCACAACCACCCACTTAGCACACCTCTTCTGGTCTATTTCCAGGTTAAGCATTTGTCACTTTGGAAACCCTTGGTATTCGCACCCTGCTAAAGATTTAATTGTGACTTTCGGGGATTCTGTGCTGCTTTTAATAGTAAAACACATTTAATTACAAAGGGAGGTTGACATAGTTTTGGGTTTTAAATCATTTTGAAACGAAAGAGCAAGAAACTCACACCCACACGCACACACCCACACACACACACACACACTGAACTTACTACACCCTCATAGGTTGATAAACTAAATGGCTAATCTGTATTGATGAAACAAAATCATCCAAATTAATGAAAGGCTGGAATGAAATTGCATGTTATCTTCTAAATCTTATCTAAAGTGAGCACTTTCTGAGGCTGGTGTGCTACTTTCTGGGCAGAGGGACAACAACTAAGTACATCCTAATATGCTTAAATCCCCTCTGAAGGGTTTCCCTTCCCTACCAGGATGAAACTAGACTTGGAAGCCTACCCAGATGGGAAAAAAATGGAAGAAGAGCAAAGATGATTTAGTAAAAGCATGCTGTCTAAAGGCAAGATCATAATGTGTGAGAAAGCACATTTTTTGTTGGTGTAAGCTATGAATATATATGACAGATCCAGAAATGCAGACCCGTGTCTGAGAGGCCAGTACAAGTATTTATAACTCGCTTTGGAAGCCCTTATAGAAAGCTATGGTTGCTAAATGAGGCTACAATCACTCAAGGTGTGTAATTACACTCAAATTCAACCTTGAGTCGGAGTCATTATCATTCCCTCCCCAACAACATGGGAAGATAGAATCAGATATCGGAAAAATCCAGAGTATTTTAAAGACAGTATTTGCAAGAATCAAATTTTACTGATTTAGATTTTATTTGGGAGCACTAATGTGTTTTCCTCGTTCTTGTTTGGTGTCATCTGGGATATATCCCATAACTCTGTTGCCAGTTTGTCAATATGAAGGTGTTTATTCTTCCTTTTATCCATTTCACATCTACTGCCTTCATGTGAAGCTCATGTAGCTAAGATATATATATATATATATATACACACATATATATATATACATCTAGTGTTTACGATGCACATCTAGTGTTATGTTAATAAATACAGTCTTTGATGACTAGTATAAAGCAAGGTAGTTCAGGAATTGTGAGTTCAATACACTGACCCATCCAAATACCACATTATGCATATTCACTGTGTCTCTTAAGGCTTTTTTTTTTAGGTCATGGGGCTCAGTGGTAAAATGTAGTTGTCCCAAATTCTGGATCCATTCCAAATGAATATTTGTACAAACCTGCTCGCAGTGTTGATACTAAATTACTCACAAATTAAAACATAACCCAATGCAGTCACTTTATAATGGTTTCCCACAATTGATCACTGTTTGTTCTTGCAAACCTCCCCTTCACACAGAACACCTTTAAAGTCTCCATGGTTATCTCTGTACATATTTTATGCAGATTACTTTTATATTTATGGAAGGGGGATCACTTCTTCCCCCAGGTGGCTGTAAAATTGCAATTTCACTTTGACATGATACAAATTGGTTTAGAGAAAACAAATTATTCTAAAGTCTTTAGAAGCTGAAAGATGTAGTTTGAGCATAGTAACAACATAAATAAATCTAGAAGATGGCGGCTTTTATCTCATCCTGGATCATGCCTCTGAATTTAGTTTACTGATTTTTATACAGGAATGATTTGAGGCTTGTGTAAAGAAATGGAAACCAAGAACCAGCATAAAATGTAAGTTTACAATCTCTTGAAATGTGTACTTATACAGACCATGAAACACAAATATTTTGTTCAAGAACATATGTTGTCTTTCAAATGCTGTTCTGATCACATGACCAAAAGTAAAAGTTTTTAGGAAGGAAGTAAATAATCTTATTTACTTCTGCTACTAACTACTCCACAAATAGGGAATGTTGGATCACAGAGGAAAACTGAGTTAGGAGCCATGATCAACAATAGTAAAATTTTATCAAATGTTAAGGTGTATGCAATAGAAAACCGTATTTCAACAGTTAAAGTAATTTTAGTAGATAATATCCTTGTTATTAGCCTGCCAATATAAATGAAACAGTAGTATCTCAAAAGACCCTCATGACCCACTGCAAAGCTGTTGCAATCCTGTCTGTTATGATTGTGTTTATTCTCTTAACAATAGCTGTTATTAAATATTCATTAATGGCTCTATTTTATGTAGTATGTGTATGTGTATCATGTGCATCACATGTGCACGTGGGTGCCGTAGAATCCACAAAAGGGTGGTTGAGGAAGCTAGAGTTTTGTTGTGAATTACCTGATATGGGTTGTAGAAAGTGAACTCTAGTCTTTTGCAAGAACAGCAATTGTTCTTGTATTAAGTTTATTCATTTTTTAAAAAAATCTGGGGTGCAGTTCCCCTCCCTCCTCTCATCCCATTCCCTACATCCACCCCCTGTTCTCCACCCCCAATTCCTTCTTCTTCTGTGTCTGTTCATAAAGGGGCAGGCTTCCATTGGTTATCAACAAAGCATGATGTCAAGTTGAGGTAGGATAAGCTCCTCGCCCCTTGTATTAAAGTTGGTCAAAGCAACCTAGTAGGATGACTAGGTTCCTAGAAGCCAGCCAAAGTCTTAGGGACACACACAGCTCCCATCACTGGGAGTCCCACGAACACATCAAGCTACACAAATGTTACACTTACATAGAGGGCCTAGGTTAGTCCCATGTAGGATCTCTAGCTGTCAGTCCAGTCTGTGAGCCCCTGTGAGTCAGGGCTAGTTTTTTCTGTAGGTTCCCTTGTGATGACCTTGACACCCCCCCACACACACACACACACACACACACACACACACACACACACACACACACACCCTGTTCTTATAATACTTCCTCTCTCTCTTCAACAGGATTCCCAGCTTGGCTGTGAATCTCTGAATCCATTTCCATCTGTCCCTAGATAAGGTCATTTTGATGTAAATTGGGGTAGTAATCAATCTGATTACAGGGGAAGGCCAATTCAGGCTACCTATTTATTATTGCTAGGAATCTTAACTGGGGTCATCCTTGTCAATTTGTGAGAGTTTCCCTTGCAACAGATTTCTACCTGACCCCAAAATGCCATCCTCATCAAGATATATCTTTCATTATTCTCCCCTTCCACTCACCCCACCCCAACCAATTCCTCCTGTTCCCTCCATTGCTGTGGTGCAATACCTACCAACAGACAAACAGGTGAGTAACCTGTCTGCAGGATGGACCACTGCCACCCCACTGGATCCTGCTCCCTCAAAACCTACTCCACCACCCAACCCTATCCACCTCATCATCCTTCGCATGGCCAGCCCTGCCCTGTGACTGCAGCAGACTCCATAGTCACAGGTACAGCCCTTGCCAATCTGAAAAAGAGAGAACATTATTACCTGTGAGCCATCTTTCCAGCCCCCCTGAAGACAATTTTTAATGAGCATAACATCAGTTTCATTTTAGAGGAACTTGCATGTGAAACTTTGGACTCCCAGTTATCAATCATTAGCCAGGGGCCATCATCATAGAATCAAAGGGATACCAAGCACTTGAGGCTGTTTTAACGTGCTACATTTTTCATCATTTTTGACAGGACTCTTGCCGTTACTAGTATGACCCAAGTCTAAAGAATAGACCCTACTTCAGTAGCACCCACAAAAATAATTCCATGATCATCTTCCTACACTAATTTGGCTCATAGTTATATTTATAAAGAGAAAAACCTAAATCCCAGCAAGTTCTACTAAAAATTAACAAAACATTAAAACATAAAGAGATAGGTAATTTTAAAGATCAAGGCAGAGGGAACCTTGGTTAAAAATTACATGCTCTTAGCAAGTTTTATACATCAACATATTGAAAAATTAATTCCATCAGTTCAGGAATAATAATTATTTTTAACAATTAAGGTTTTTTATTCTTTATAATCATATCCCACATTTTAAAATACTTAATGAGGTCTTGCAAGGAAGTGACAATTTCAGGAGGATATAATGGTCTCTAATCACTTCACTGGAGCTATTAGCGAGAGAAGTTGTCAGGAAATGTTTTTACTTTTATTATAAAACTAATTGAACTTCTCATTGAATGAAACAAGACATTTGTCAATATATAAGCCATGAACTCTCACTTTGTCTTTTTCCTGCTTTGTCCCTAATCTACACTTAAGTGCTATCAATTCATTTAGACAATTTCTCACCCTTTTCCTAGTGGAGATACTCTAAGAAAGGAAGGAAAGTAGCTGCTAAGGGATTAACTGCTGATTCTCTGTACTTTATGCAACACTGTGCTTTGCTTTGTGGAAGACAGGTCCTCAGAAGTGTGTTCTTGGGTTGTTTAAGTTAGCATGTGAATGCCCTAGGTTATAGCCATACAAAATATGGTAGCCATAATGCCCAGGTGAAATAGTCTCATAAGGCCACATCAGTGCTTGCGATCCAACTGAACAAAAGGCCTATCCAGCACATCACCATATTAATATTATCCTATTTTAATCAGGGAGGCAACTATCATACTGATTTTATAATTGTGGAAAACAGAATATTTTGCTCTACCCAAAACTGGCATAACTTCCAGAACAAGAATTAAAAACAGATACATATGACTCTAAGGCTTTCCTGAAACATGTGTCTGTAAAGAACTGAAGGCTGAGAATTAGTATTAGACAGACTGATATCAATTCCACAACAGAACGACGTTTGACGTTACCAAAGTATAAGTAGCATATGCCATGCATGCCAAAGGCCCTGGTGCCTTTGCTTATCCTTATGAGGGAGTCAGTGTGAGAAGGTCAGTGAATCTCTGTCTGTGGATTTTGGAGTGGTAGAATCCCCATCTGTAAGTGGAGGTGGCACTTTTGTGTCCTGGCCACCCAGTCCCCAATTAATCACACAGAAACTCACATTAATTACAAACTGTTTGACCTATAGTTCAGGTTTATTACTAGCTAGTTCCTACTTTTAAAATTAACCCATTTCTATTCATCTATTTGTTCCCGTGTGGCTGGTAGGTTCACCTGTTGTCTAGGACATTTTGCTGCTCCAGAGGCTGGATGGCATCTCTCTGGATTCCTCCCTTCTTTCTCCCTGTATTCAGTTTGGCTTTCCTGCCTTGCAGGGGGTCAAGGCAGCTTTTATGATTAGCCAATGAGAGCAGCATATATTCACAGTGTACAGAAGGATTATCTCACAGCACCCATCATCTGTTGGGAAAGGGAAGGCAATGTTCCACCCTGAATCTGCATGTCTGAGGATGATGCCAGGAAAGCTATGTTTGAGAAAGCTATTGGGATAATTTTCATGTGGCATAGTTTGAAATCCATATGTGTGTGTGTGTGTGCATTAAAAGTTTGTACTATAATGTATACAAGGTGTACAATATATACCATGATCTGAAAGCTAATTACAAGATATTGAGTATATTAGTCCATTTCTCTGGTGCTCTGTTTCCTCATAAAAATGTAAGAATTCATAAAACTTGTACTAGAGATATACTTTGAGGACTATGCAATACTAGCCTTGTAGCGAACTGTGGAATGAGGCTACCTCTGAAGAGTATTTTCAATACAGTATCCTATGTTCGCTATAGATGGCATTCACTGTATTAGCCATTCTAGTAATAATGAACTTGAACGTTTAATTGAAAAGGAATAAACATTCTTTCTCAACTTGCTTTGGCATCATTTAGAGATGTATAGAGCCGAAAAGGGAAGGTGATGAATCGCTCCCACAATCACTGCATAGTAAATCACACGCTGTGCAGAGATAGTTTCGTGCAGAATTCCAAGTCGATGCCATCAGCATTATAAGTTAGAAACTGCAAATGAGGATTAAGCAAACACATGATTTGAGAAACAAATTAGAGAGGGGAAAAATAATCTCTGAATTTGAGTCTTTAAATGCAGACTCAATCTTGCGATGAGCAACTCCAGAAGAAAAGAGGGGATGCTCATGATCATCTTTAGGCACAGGAAGAGGGAGACCGAGAACAGTCACTGTTAAATGGAAACTATCAATGGAGACAATTAATAGAATCCACTCCGGGAATGCAAGTGTGTGGATATGGCATTCAATGCTGTATGCTGTTATATTGATTTTAATGAGGCCCTTCCTGCATCCTTGCACCTGTGAGTGAGCAATCTCACCAATTGTGATGGCAAACTGGTGATGGGGGATGATAAAAAAATGAGACTTAAAAGACTCCAGATGGGGCATACATACCAAAGTCATAGCCACACACTTTGAGGCATGTTTTAATGTTTTCATATTTATAGAACGGAGTTAAGGCATCAGCTGGAAAATACTTTTGGTTTTCTTAGCCCATACACACCAGTTAAACACACATCATTAAACAGTAACTGTGTTTGTTGAAGCATGCTGTACAGAGAGATGGAGAGGGAAATTTAACAGACACACACTTTTATTTCATTTTATCAGCTTAAAAAGAAATGCTAAAATGATAAAATGGCCATCCAGGTTTTAACCAGCAAACTTAAGGTGACTTTTCCATGTGCTTCTCAGAGTAGTCTCAGAATACTATAGCCAGTTGGATTTTGCTATTTTCTCATTTCATTAAAAAAACGTATTTAATATAATTTTAAGTGTATGTATATGTGTGTGTATGTATATGTGTGTGTATGTATCTGTGTGTGTATGTATGTGTGTGAGTATGTATGTATGTGTGTGTGTATGTATGTGTGTGTATGTATGTGTGTGTGTGTGCGTGTGTGTAGTTAAGAAGACATCTGCATGGAGCCAGTTATCCCCTTTCATCTTCACACAGGTTCCGGTGATCAATCTAAGGCTTCCAGGCTTGCATATAAAATAGCTTTATTTGCTGAGAAATGTCACCAATGTCCATATTGTCACATGTCCTGGTTAAGGACATAATGTGATCATTTGAGCAATGGGATAGGAATCGGGCCAATGTGAGGTGAAATTGTCAGAAATCGTAACTCTCCTCAGTTTTTGTTCTGAGTCCATATCTGTGCTTACCATTTCCTGATGTTTCCATGGGAATATATGCCCTACTCTATGAAACCTGAAAGACTTCTGGAATCAGGGTAAGTGATATACATGAAACTTCATAGTCACATTATTAAATTGAAAGTCTTTAAATCAGTATCATTCAAAGAAGCAAACTTAAAACTGTTTTGCCAGTCCCAAACCTTACAAACATATCTGTGTAGCTTAAAAACCTTGAAAATGCTAATCTTTTTTAAAAAATGATCATTAAAGTTGTAAACTTCTTCTCAAAATGGAGGAGTACAAATGTGTCCCCACAAAGGGATGAGGCAGATTTGAGGTAGCTGGTCCAAACCTGTAGTATGAGGGACCATTCAGGTACAGGACACTCAAGCCCTGAGATGAGTGACAGCTTGCATTATAGAAGTCTTACAAAACTGAAGTAAAATGGTGTCTTGGTATCTGACTCCCTTTGTGGCCTTCAAGCCTACACTGTTTCCGTGTGCCTGTGTTTTTAAGTACCCTCATGCTAGTCAGATACCGTCATTGTGATTACGAAACAGTTATGTTGTTAGCCATTTTTCTCCCTTGGAGTGATTTGTAGAGGTGAGTTTACCTGCTTATTTTTATTATGTTTTTAAGCAAGCTCTCAGAAGGTAGTCCTGTTTGATTAGAACTCTTTATACAGACCAAGTTGGCCTCAAAATGGTAGAGCTCTTTCTGCTTCTGCCTCCTAGATGCTGGGATTAGAGAGATGGTCCACCATGTTCAGCTTGATAATGACTTACTATCAGTTGACAGCAAATTAGCTGTACAGTGAGGGATAGGTGTACACTATCTCACCCATCCTAGTGTAATGAGGTCTACATTATTTTTCTCAGTTTACCGACAATTTGAATAGTCTCTAAATCATTATACTATTAGGAGGAGGGGCCACTGGGAAGTACTTAAACTTAGATGAGGTCATGAAGGTGAAAGCGACAGGGAACAGACTGCCTCTCAACAGTATAAGAATATACTAAAAAAAGGGGTCATCTATAAGCCAGGAAGTGATCCCTCATAAACCTCCCTGTCTGAAGACACTTTGATTTTGGACTTCCTAGTCTCAAAATCTGTGGGAAATAAATTTCTGTTGTCTAAGGCCTTGAGTCTGTGCTATTTTTTTTTTACTTTAGCAGCATGAACAGATTGAGACATTCAGAAAAAATATAACAACCGGTTGTTCTTTTGTTAGCAAGTTCACTATCAGTGTGGCTTCTCTGGCATCATTAGAAAAGTTTGCGTGTGTAGTTGAATACCTGGAGAGAGGTTGTTAAAGATAATGAGAAAAAAGGGGCAGAGACAAGATGTAGGATAAATTAGATCTTCAAGTTGAAAGATGATGATTTGATCTATTTATATAAATGTACTCTGTTAAACTCTTCTCCCATGGAATTATTGATCTTCTCCAGAAAGACACCCCTGCAGAGTACAATGTGTCTGTGATTCTCCTGTAAGACACCCATCCAGGCAGACAGGAGGCGGGAGTTCTCCCTAACCTCAGGGAGCAAGGCCACAGCCATCACCACTGTCCATTATAAGATTTATGTATGTATGTTAGGGTTTGCCTCCATGTACTTATGTCCTCCGGGAATGTATAGTTCTGGGGAAAACCATAGGTGCCTGGAAACTGCAGTTACAGATACTGCATGGGTGCCGGGAATTAAACCTGGGTCCTTTGGAAGAACAGTAAGCTCTCTTAACCACTCTGCCATCACTCCAGTACACAAACTCCATCATTCCTTATATTGATAATCAAAACGTAGGCCAATAATCTTATTTGCTCCATAGTTAGAAGTTGGATATGTCACCCTAAGGATTTTTGGCTCACATTTATGCATCTAGATATGAACAACTTTTTGTCATTAACTTTCTTTTCATATGGTTTCAATTTTTATATCAACAGCCTTAAATTATTAAAATGAATATTGCCAAAGAGTACATGAATGTTGTTTGATCACAAAATTTGGTTACTCTTTATTCTGATGCCAAGTTTTTGTCTGATTAGTAGCCAATTAATTCTATTGATTGTGAGGAATCTATTATAAATTTATAGAAATTTTAATTGGTTTTAACTGAAGAACTTGTAGAGTATCTGCAAAGCATCACATGAAACTGAAAGTGGTTGCTGTAGAATTTGTACAGATGCTGGAAGTATAGAAGTCTACGTAGTCTTAGGTGAACTGTTGGAATATCAGCAGAAATGCTATCTTTAAATATAAACACACTGCCTGAGGAGTGGGGGGAATGGGAGGACTGAGGGAGAGGGAACTGGGATTAGTGTGTAAAATAAGATTGTTTTTATTTTAAAGAAAAAAATATAAGCTTGGGGCTGGCATGGTGGCTCCGTGGAAAAACGTGACTAAGCTTTACCCCCAGAACTCCCATGATGGAACAAAACTTTACTGCAGCAAGCTGTCTTTTTGTTTCTACACGTATCCCATGGCCTACACACTCTCATATCATACATTGATAAATAAATAGCAAATAAATAAAATATTTAAACTTTAGTAAAGTGAGATGGCGGGGCTGAAGACAGTTTGCTTAGTATATTAATAGTTATAAAATGGCAACACTGGTTTAGTGATATGATGGGGTCTTTTCTCATCTGTAGCAGTCTCATGAGGAAAACAGGTATTGATTAAGTTTGGTGATGTCAGCATCTAAGTTTAAAGTTGCTAGAATCCCAAGCCCCCTGTTTTTTTTTAACCGTCTTCCCTTCTACAGTTGTTAACCTGGTGCAATGATATTTCCTTTGCATTGCAGTCTGCAGTCACTCTGAGGACACCCATCTTTGATTTGAGCTTTGGTGGAGGTGAGAGCTCTCTAATGGCTTGGCTGCTTTGCTTTTCTGGTCTTCAGCTTGAACCCTAATATCTGTCTCTGGGTTTTTACTAATTGTGCTACAGGCTGGGGCCCCTACAAATAGATGATTGCTGAGTGAAATAGAAAGTTGTCTTCTGAGTTTCAGGGATAACGTGCTCATCTATGAGTGACAGAAATGTTATTATCAAGTTTCTGTTCATGTTATCTGTGGAGCTGAAGAGTAGCTGTTGAGACTCCACGGGACTGTTAAGTTGAAAAGCATGTGCTTTTTATGCAAAAATGTCCAAGGTTCATTGTAGTAAGGTTAGAAATTTGTAGGAGAGCAAATATTTATCAATTTTTGAGTAATGTATGGGCAGGATAATTGTCAGAAACAGAACATTCCCTGCACATAAATGATTAGTCCCATAGTATTGTAAATACATGTGTCCAGTATATGTATGAATTCAAGATGGCTGACTGAGCAAACATATCAAGCACACACAATTAAAAATATAAATTAACAAGAATTCTCAAGCTACAGAACCAAAGGAAGAGGGTACCAATCTGAGAAAGGTCTGGAGAGAACTTACAGAGGTGCAGAAAAAGAACAAGAATTATTGGTTGACACAGGACAGGTGCAGTTTGTCAGACTGCTCCAGATGTAGACCAGCCTAACTTCATTTTCTTCATTCTCAATGAGTAAGTAAATTTTAGTAATATTGTTAGCCTTCTGTTTGTAGGGACACAGGAGAATTAAAGGTCTCTTTCCCCGAAGTCCCAGACTTAATTCTGCTGGACATGCAGTCATGTACTATGAAGCAGGGACAGAATCAATTGTACTGAGCTCAATGAAGTCCTGGCTCTCTGCCTTTTATATCCTCTAATTGCACATGGCATAACATATTTACTCGAGCCAGAGGACAAAATAGTCTAAGGACAGAAGTCAGCTAAATGTATGGCCAGATAATTGTACTGAAATTATCGAGTCAGCCTTTGGATCCAAAGCTTTTTCGAATTTGAGTACTGGACCTCATCACAACGATTCCAGACTTGTGGTAGAATATTATGTCAAGGTGTGTTACTTTTGTTTATAGTGCATTTGTTTAAGTCAGTGAAGCTGTGATTCTTTGCCTGTCTAAAACACCTGATGGTCTGGAGCTGAATGCCCAATAGTGAGGCAGGAGCAAGGACAGGCAGGGCTGGCAGGGAGAGGGGATAAATAGGGGAACTGAGCAAGAGCAGCAGCAAGGAGAGAACAAGAAGAGGAGAACTTCGGGGGTCAACCACACAGCTACCCAGCCAGCTACAGAGTAAGAAAGAAAGATATGCAGAAGAAAGATGAAAGCCCAGAGGGAAAAGGTAGATGGGTTATTTAAAGTTAAGAAAAGCTGGCTAGTAAAAACCCAAGCTAAGGCCAAGCATTCTTACCTAAGAATAATCCTCCCTGTGTGATTTATCTGAGGGCTGGATGGTATGCCCCTCAAAAAACCAAAAGAGTAAAAAGTATTTCCCACGACACAAGACACTAGAGAACATCTCAAGACCCATGTTTGACGAAAGTGCCCACATGTCTGCAAAGGTGATTTCCTCTAATTCAGTCCTTCCCTCTGTTAGTAGCATTCTCTCCAGTAATATTATTAAGTCTGGCATTATCTTAATGTGCATTTGAGACCCAAACTGCAGGTACAGGCACCATTTTTAAAAATTCATTAAAAAAAACTTTGCTGGGTGTTTGAGATCAGAGGACAACGGTGAGTCTGTTCTCTCCTGGAGATGGGTGAGTCTCATAGACCAGATTCAGATCACCTAAGCATAGCAGCAGTCACTTTATCCCACTGAGAATTCTCACTTTCCTGAAGTCACCATTTCCTTGAGCCATAGGAGCCAAAAGTGACAGGAGAGCAACCTCTGCCTGACAAGTGTCACAGAGCTTGCTTGTGATTGGCTGGGAAATGTGGCGGGAGCTGCCACTACATCAGTGCTCCACTAGAGAAGAACCAGTCTTTTATGGCTAAGACTCTGGATATTTGTTTTCAGTTGAGGTTCTTTAATGGTTTTATGAAAATCTAGGAGCTTCTGCAGTTAAGAGCACATGCTGTGTTTCCGGAGGACCAGAGTATGATTCCCTGCACCCATGGGTGGTGGCTTGTAGCTTCCTATTACTTCAGCCCTCTGGGGATTTTGTTGCCTTCTTCTGGGGTCTATCTTCACAAATGTGTGCACGTGTGCAAACACATGCCTACACAAATAAAACCTTTAAAATGAGAGCAGAGAGCGTTTAATCTTATTAGAGAGTTACTAAGATTCTTTCATATTAAGCATACCAAGCTCAAATAGGGTACACTGAGATGAGATTCTGTTTCAGGAATTCTAGACTGCAGAAGAGTTGTATCTGCCAAAACTTGGTGATAATAATTTCTAACCAAAATCTAAGAGTTTTTTTAAACACCAGATTTCTTTATACAAAACCAATAAGGGACAGGAGCTTTGCATTCCCAAGAAATAAGTATGTCTCAGCTTAATATAAGTTTTTGTAGAAATAGTTTTCAGAGAATATAGTTTATTAAAACCTGGTCAAAATAAACAACAGAAGAGGCAAATGTAAGAATCGCTTTCTCCAAACGAGCAGAAAGATGGACATTGTCATTTTTAGTTGGTTTAAAAGTCATTTGTTTCCGTGGTGATAGATTGGGGTGAATGTGTGAAGTAAGTCATGAAAAATGCATTGTGACATAGAGCGCAATCATGTCATTTTGATTTTGTTCAAAGCTTTAGTAGTTTAGCAATAGTTTGGCTAAACAAAGGCGTGTCAGCGATGTTTGTTTCTATTCCAAATTAACTTTTACTCTTCACTCCAGCACAGATGCAAGTACTATATCTTCTCTATTAGACACTTTAGAAAGTTCCTAAAGTAAATTTAAATGGAGTTTTTATAGCTAATGGGGATATATAGTCATTCAATATTGAAACACACCTCCCACAGAAGGAGAGGATATAAGATTTTATTTTTAAAAAAGTAAACATAATTTAAATTTGTATAAATAATATGTAGTGATTAAGACAAAAAATTACCCCACTGTTAAAACTCTGTACTTTGGTGAAAGTGTTCTAATGGTCAAACATTTTATAATTTTGCTTACTTTAGTGCAAGTCATGACTTGCTTGTAGAATTCTAATTTCAATGGTGTTGCATGATACTACTCCTGGAGACACATGAACAAATATCCACTCACCATAAAGAAAGAACCAAGGACCAATCATAGTAGTATTACTATGGCTCCCAGCGTGGTGAACCAATGAGTTCTTTGTGCTTATTATATTGGTGAGGAGTTACACACAGGCACAGAAATGACTCAAAGACAGTTACATCACAAGAAGTTCACCTGAGCATGCATGACATCTCATAAGTTTCACAAACCAAAGTCCACTGTGGAACATGCCGGCAGCTCCACGAGTTGGAGAGTGTCCTTTCTAGGTAGTTTAGCTTTCTTCAGGCAGTTCTGTGGGTCTTTGTCTCTTCTAAGAAACTCAGATACTCTGTTTCTTTCTGAGCCTCTTCAAGGAAGCTTGACTTGTTAGGTCAGACTATTTCTCTCAGTAGTGCTTATATAAGCCTGGGGATGGGGAGGGTACGTGAATCTGTTCAGTTTTAGGGACATCATGAAGCTTTTGAGTTTGAAAGAGTTACTTCCCGGTTTTAAAAGAGTTTCCTTGCAGGATGGACTATTTCACCTGTCTTTATAGCATCCTGTCCTAGATGAGTTTCCCTCCCAGATGGAATGTTTCATCACAGAGGAAATTGCTACACAGCAAAGGGACACCTAAAATAGGAAGATATTTCATCTGGGAAAACTGCAGAAGACACAGCTTGACCCATGGAATAATGTAGTATTTTAAAAGTTAAGCCAATGGTTAGCTAAGTTACCATAGAAAAAGAACAGTGACAAAATTAGAAAAATAATGATGGTAACTAGCATTTTCACTGATGGACAGGTGAATATTCCCGAGGACCTGTTTTGATGCTCTAGGAAGGAAACACATCTCAGCTTAACCATGTCATTAGGATGCATGATACAAGCCAAGTAAATAATGTTTTATTATCAAATTTTCTTCAACTAGGCAATTGCTATAAGAGACAAAGTATAATGACCCATTTCAGTCTAAAATAAACTCGTGGAATATCACAACAAAATACAACCTAACTGAATACATTGTATAAAAGGCATTAGTTGATCAATTTAGAAAACTGGTACTTCTTCGTTATATACTGGGATATATATTTGTCCAAAGATGGTAATTGTTCTGTGATGAAGAAAGAGAATGTCTTTTTGATTTCAGATATGTGCACTGAAATGCTGGGAGAAAGAGGAGTCAGAACAGCCACTTGCTTTCAGAGTGTATACGTGGGATGCACATTCATACAAAGAAAATATGGCAATGTTGCATCCGTCAACACAGCTGGGAAAAGGGCTTGCAGGGGGTGCACGTACCATTCTTGTGATTTTTCTATAAGCTTATAATTACACTCAAATAGAATGTTAGAAATACTATCCCCAAAAGAATGATGTCATGTTGGTGTAGGTTCACCCTTCAATGGCTGTGTTTTGAGAGCTATTAGAGTGCCATGGTTTCTTGTGTGAGGCTCATTATCTCTGCCTTTATTATTGATTTGGGAGGTGTAAGTGTTGGGGGGATTAGGTCTTAATGATTTTTTTAAATACTGTGTATGTGTATGTACACTTGCACTCAAATATGCACATACAGGATTGCACCTATGAGTGTGGGTGTGGGTTTGGGTCTGATGAGTTGGTCTTTGTCCATGAATATGGAAGGCAAAGGAAGATTTCTGGTGTCTTCCTCCATTAGTCTCAGCCTTATTCTCATGAGATCATCTCTCACAGTTTTGACAAGGCTGGCTTCCCTGGATCTGCTTGTCTCCATTCCCTTGAACTGGAGTTATAGGCAGTCTCACAAAAGACTTATACATGGGCAGTGGGGTCTGAACTTGTAGAGCAAGAGAACTTACCCATGGAGAACCATCTCCACAACCCCAGCTGTAGAGCTCTTGATGAACAAAGTCAGTTACTCTAAGGTTCTCTTTGAAATAGAAAGCAGATTATTAAGTTGGCTTGACCATTTCTTCTGAAAACTTAAAACACTCATTGAGTTCATGGTCCCTCATACTGAAGATTTTACAGGATTTGTGACATATATGAAGTCTACTAGGTCACTAATTACTTGATTCCAGAATGAAATTTAAAGGGCAAAAAGTTGGTAGGAAATAAACAAAATAAGGATTAAAAAACAGCACAAGACCAGTGACACAAGACTTGTATAGGATTTCCCCAGCTGTACACAGTTCTAACCAGAACCAAAGGCATTTAGAGTGGCAATCCCTTTGCTAGCCTGCCCACAGACTCTCCTCCTTTCCTTCATACTCTCCAGGCTTCAGTATTAATAGAAAGCTAAAATCCATCTTCACTGCACTCAGTGTGTAACCAGCTGTGGCTTTATTTTTGATGCTGCCCCATGGGGGGGGGAGTTGTTTTTTCTTTGCTATAGGTGTTAATTGGCATCTTTGTATCTTGCTAATTACATTCTAGCAACACCTTTTCCCTCTTCCTTGTTTGCATTTAATGAGCTCCTTGTTGTATTAATTTATTAGATAATAAGATAAAACAAAAACTTCAGCTCCTTTAGGCGTGGTTTGGAACATGTACTTCAGATATGTAAACATACATGCTACACAACAAAAAGCCAGCCCAGAAAGAAATCTTGCTCTTGTTAGTCTACACTGATGGCTTAGATAGGGTGGTCATTGACGTATACACGAAAGGGCGAGGCTGGGTGCAAATCGGAGGCAGTAGCTTTTATTGGAAATAAGCAAATCAGGATCCCATATGGCCTGCATGATGTGCATATCAAGAACCTCTGCAATATTTAAACACAAAAAGCAAATTATGAGTTCAGCAATGTGCCTTTTAGAATCTAATTATCATTTTATTTCCATGTTCATTTTCTTACTCTAGTTCTTTTGAAGTCATTGACCAGGCTCTGAGTTCTATATAATTCTCTAAGATCCAAGAATTCATTTGACAAAAGGAAAAGGAAAAATCATCAGTGTCCAGAGAAACTTGCGACTGTTTAATAGAATAATGCCCTTCATTCCTCAGCAGGTAAGAAATTCTGGAAATTATTTTGAGTGAAGACTTCCAGATGTTACCGAATGCACTCTGGCTGTTCCAACTCAAGCTAGTAGCGGTTATCGGTTTTCTACCTTTTGTCTGATATTTTTAGGGGAGCCATTGACACCCTTATTGTTATATTTTTGACTCTGTTTCAGCAATGGGTTCCATTACATCCAGCATATTCTAGCCAGCTTTTTTTTTTGAAATTACAAGCATCCAGAATCAAAACTGCATATCCTTTGAAATAAGTACCAGTTCTTTACTTGAAGTAAACGTTTCCACAAGTCAAAATCCCAAGCTGTAACTATTTTTGCTAAATAAGCAGACACATTTCCAATTGCTGCTAACACTGTATGCTGCAAATAACAGGAAAAAAAAGTTAAAGCTGAAAGTCCTAACAGTGCAAATTGCTCCTCTGCTTTGATAAATATCATGGTAGAAATGACTGCATTTTCTATTGTAGTTTTTGTGATGTTGAGCTTCTCAGTGAGATTCACACATTTTAATAAGATAGTGTGGAAAGTACAATAACCACTGCCCTTGAGAGTACTATCAATACTCCCTACAGAAAGGGTATGGCTGTCACCAGGCTGTCCATGGTCCATCAATACTTTAGATAGAAATGTGCAGAAGTTACATCAGCTTATCTCCACTTGATCTTTTGTGAGATGTGTTGGAGAAAAAAACCCCCGAAAAACAGCAAAAGAAGGTTTCTGAATTGTCCTTTATAGCTCATGAATCAGGAAGGAGAGGTTTCTCCCTTGCATCAGAGAAGAGTCTGAGGCAGGCAATCGACACAGCAATTTGAAACTTGCACAGCTCATGGATTTACTTTTTCCCTGAATGCTAATTTTAATCCCTCATGATGGTTAAAAGCAAGTGTAAAAGCGAAGACAATATCCAGAGAGGGCTATTGAAGAGACAGAGACAGTAGAGCTTCGAGAGGATTGTCTGCAGAAAATAGTTTTCCCATGTGTGGACTTGGCCTTTGAAGCAAAGAATTATAACAGGAAATTAGTGAAAGGCTGGTACAGCCTCATAAACAAGAACAAAATAATGTCAGCACACCAAAATATTTCACTAGGCTGCTGCTCCCCTCGGAGGCTCACAGGTGGTATAATAAATGGAATCAGCCATCCTTTCAGATGTCTAAGTTATATGGTTATTTTGGTTCGGCTGACCATTAGTTATTGTTAATCTGAGGCATAAATACAGACACTAGTTGAATATTTATGTACAGTTCCCGAATCTACCTTCATTAATTTGTCCACATATGGGAAATAAGGCCATTGGGGATGGTGGTAGAAAATATTACTTTGGAGCCCTTAATGTAAGGTATTAAAATATGAATGTGCTTCTGGTGCGGGAGGTCCTGGAACTCTTGCTAGGTGTTGGGTCCCTGCTGACTCTTTATCGTTTTCTCCTTTCTCACACTGAATATAAATTTGAAAAGCTACCTTTAGCAACTAGCAAATGGTGACATGGCCAAGCTCATCTTAAGAGATTGCTAAGTTTTCTTCCAGATGGAAGAATTTTTATAACCGGAGTGGTGGAGAATCTGTCCTCAGAGCCCAGCTCAACTTGATCCTGTCGCCTGCAGCCTGTGTGGATGCATTACACCAACCTCCCTTTGTTTTACCTTGCACTGTAACATCGGCGAGTTGCTGGATTTTTACTCTCCCCGCAGCTCGTTACTGTTCTCTTAATGGAATAAAATATTCAAAGAACACACACACAAAGTGTGATGCTCAGTAGAATGTCTGCATCCAATATATTCTAGACGTAGAATATCTGTATGGAAGATGGTCCCTATGTCTAATATGCAAACATATATAAGAGAAAACTACCTACATGCCCGAATTTCATACTAAATTGTAAACTGTCTTCTATTATTGGACCATAATCTACAGGTATTATGCTCCACTGCATACTGAGCGATCCTAGGTTGAAGGACTTAGGAAGTGTTTCCTCCAGTTGGGTAGAGAATCTTCCTACTATTTGTTTTTTACTCTATCTTTTTGGAAATCCATAATGCTAAAGTAAGCTTTTGCTATTGGGGTTAGATAAATTTTCTTTTTTGGTTGTTTGAGAAAGGGTTTCTCTGTGTGAAAGCCCTGGCAGGCCTCATACTCTCAGAGCTGCTCCTGTCTCTGCATCCTCAGCGCTGTGATTAAAAGGCATGTGTTACCATTAAAGGCATGTACTACTACTAGTAAGTCAAAGATTTTCTTAAATTCCCAAAAGTTATAATAGTTAGATTACATAATGAGTCAGTCTTTACTCTCTTTGGTTTGTCTAGAAAGCAAGTTAAAATTGTATAAATAAATTTTATTTAAGGATTAAGAAACGAGTGTCTGGGATTATAGCTAAGTGTAGAATGGTAAAATGATTTGGGACACAAGGCCCTGAGGTCTGATTGAAGTGGGATGGGGAGGGCGAAGAGAGGAGGAAGGAAGGAAATGAGATTTTCTTTTGTGTAAGTACCTTATTAAAGAATAAACTTGTAATTAAAAAAGACACCAGACCAAAAATATCAGCAATGATCTTTTTATCCCTGAATCAATGTAGAGTCATGCAAAGTACATTTTTCATAACTCAACTTTGACCTCATAGGTAGCTCAAAACCCATATATTTTCTTAGGTTGCATTGTTGTTGTTATTGCTATTGTTGATTGTGTGTGTGTGTGTGTGTGTGTGTGTGTGTGTGTGCATGAGTCTGAGCTTGCCTGTGCATGTGTGTGGATGCTTCTGTGTAACATAGACAAGAAGACAGGAACTAGCACGTCAAGCACCCTGGAACCTGAATAACTTGGTGTCGATTATCACATAGAGTAGAGCAGTACTGTGAGTCATAGCTCAGCCTCACACAAAGCATAAGCAACTACGAGTTGTTTCTATGAAATTATTAAATATCAGGGAATACTTAAAACAGGAGGGTGTAATATCTGCCTATCCAAAAAGCTATTTCCTCCTAACATATATGAATTGTCTTGTGGAAAGGTATGCTATAATTGAAAAGAAAAATGCTCTCGTGACTGGGCAGATGTTTTCCAGGCTAAAGGGGAATGAAGAAGGCCTTGTGACAAACTAGATGGATGGCATAGGGGACACTTTGCTAGCAGAAAATAACAGACATTTAGAATGGACAATTAACTCATTAACACACAGTCTGATGCTCAGAATTAATTGTGATGGACATGTAAGTGGCCTTTGCTGTTTTTCTTTATGTTTTCTCATTTGGGATTATAGCACTTACCTGCATTCACTACAAGACTAGATTGACAGTATTTTAATCAATACTTTAGAGGAGACTTTTTTTCCTTAGATATAGCAAGTCATCAATTTTTAATGATGAAGTTTTGGTTAGTTTACTTAGGAGACTATACATAGTTTGAGCTAAATGTATGATTCAGTTGTTTCTAGCTGCTACCTTTATGTTTCCATAGACACTAAACTTAAGTAGATCCTTTGTGTTTTTCTTGTTCTCTAATTGGCTACTAAACAGATCACTGGTCAGTGGCACTGGAGGAGGCTTAGTGACTGCCAGAAAAGCCAGCACCCATCAGTAATAACATGGGTACAATGAATTAGAAAATATTGAGACAAATATTTACTATTGAACAAAATTATGAGAAATTTAGATATCATTTTGTAAAAATGTGTGTGTGTATGAGAGAGAGAGAGAGAATTGAATCCAGAACATTATACTTACTGAATATGTATTCCACCACTGAACTAAACTACCAACCAGACATGAGTCTTAAGGTTTCCCACAGTGAAAATTGATGATTTAAATTACATGAAACTATACACAACTGTAAATTTTTTCTCAACATTGTCATCATTTTCATACTGACTGTTATATTTTCTTAACTTTTTAGTGACTTGAATTAATTTATTTCATTTCCACCTTATGGGATATCTCTTAAACATAAGATTATGACATCCAAATACTTGTCAGGGAAACAGAACCAGCATTTACACATTGCATCTACTCTAACAACTGGTTGACAAAAATGAGCCAGACGTACAATCAGCTACGAGATCACATTTGAAGTTCAAGTTACTGAAAAATTAGGTATTTACCCACCATATTTTATGACATTGTGTAGCAGCATTTTAGGTGGAGAGATGACTTTTTAAGGAAGCTGAGTGCAAACTCACATTAAAGTTGGGACTCTCCTCACTAGCATCCTTGAATGCCCTGAAATAAAAGTTCCCCAATGACAGTCTTGTTAAGGAAGAAGCTCTGGGGCAAGTGTTGAGACAATATTTATAGGTAGCATTGGTAACTTAAGAGTATGGTCCCTGACAGGAAAAGTTTATATAAAGAAAGCATGTAGATATTTGTGGAGCAACAGGCTCAATGCACTAAGAACACGCAATAGCACACTATCACAGAAAAACAAATGAATGAAATCAAGAATGGACATTAGTCATAACAACAGGTCCAGGCAATATATACTAACTACTTAGAAAATATACATGAATGGAAGTGCCAAGAACTAATTTAATTAAGAAACAAAGATGTCCCACTTATTTATATTACCCTTACAGCATTATTAAATGATTAATGTTCAACAATCAGAACATATACAGAAGAACAAAATGATAATGGCCAGTTTCTATATCAGAGCAACTTTGCTATGAGTAATTAAGAAAAAAATTGCTAGGAAGTGTTTCTTCAAAAATTACAGAAGATTCAGACACTTTTGAATGCCTGGCCTTACCACTTCAGCTTTATTTTTCTCTTATCTTAAAATGAACAAAGGTATTATTCAGTGATTTTTCCCATCATATGTCAATATGAGAATATTTTCTTATTGAAAAGTGAGAAATTGGGTTGTCCTAAGTTATCCAGTTGCAGTGTTGGGTAAACAATATTATGACACTAATAAAGTATTCAGTGTGTTTGCTGGCTAGCAGTATCCTTTATTCTGATGTAAGAATTTTCTTTCATTTCAGAATAAGAGAGAATGAAGAAGCCACTGTTAGAAACTCAGTCCTGCTTCCCAAGAGTGGTGAGGCAGAAGGACTTGACATGGGTTGCAACATTCTTTCTTGATGTGCAGGTTTGAGCTACAATCCAAAGTCGTGAATGAAGGAAAAGTCTTGCCATATGAATGAATGAATTTTGATTATCTGACATTTGAAGCATGTGCAACATTTGCCTGGTGTGGTCTGACCAGCAAAAATAGAGCTTTTAAATGATGAAAAATGTAGAACTTAGTGGAAATATAAATTTGTATAGTTTTCTTGTGTAAATATCATCTGTCTGTGTCCTTTCTTAGTTAAGAGTTATAATCTGACAACTATTCCCCTCCACCCAACACCAGGTATATTCATTTGAAGAATTTTCATACTAAAATCTCTGTCAGGTTTGGGATAACAAAACAAGTATCTCCTAGTTTTCTTGGGTTTTCGCGCAATACATACAGGTGAACAGATATTTATGTTGATATCATTCATCGTTCAAATGGCAAACCAGAGGCACCTGTGTGTATGCATCTATCTTGTGCCCAGCTACACATGCTTTCTTCTTTTGATGAGGTTTTTTTGTAATTTTATTGTCCCAGAGTATCTGAAATCGCTGCTGTCACCTTGAAAACAAGGAACATTTTATTTTACTTTACCGTGATGGACAGTGATTGGTGAAGTATCTCTTTTTGCAGGAAATTTCTGATAATTTAGGATAATTTGGATAATTTAGGTCACACACCTATTTTTCAAAGAAAGTTATGGGTAGTAAAAAACAATATATTAATTGATTCATTGAGTCATTCCAGACAGACTCAAATTTGAGATAATTTCCCATAAAGTTTTCAAGTGAGAAAAGAGCTGATTTGACTATCTTGAGCAAAATTTATTTAATCTTGTTTGCAAATACAAAAGGCAGAATAAAATACCAAAGAAAAATCTGAAAAGCAAATGAGCCAGAAATGCCATAAGCCCAAACTTCATAGCACTAGATATCTTTATTCTTCCTTATCTTTGTATGTTTGCTTTGTGTGTCAGAGAATCTGGTGTATCAGAAATTACTCAATATACACATTTATCTTACAGAAAATCCTTGGCAAAATTAACTAAGAGACTAGCTATGTCTTAATCTTTTCCCCTGCAAACTAATTGCCAAAATCAAAGGGCTAATTTTTGCTTTCCTGCCTTCCATCATGGTTGATTATGTCTTGAGACTCTAGTGTGAGCTAAGAAATAATGGGTTTTGATCATTTGTAGGACGCGGTTCCTACAAACCACTTAGTATCTATAGTACCATTTGAAAGATGAGTGAGGACTGTCCATGGAGATAGTGAACTATAGCCTTCCAAGAAGGATGAATGTCACTTTTTAACACAGCGATACATACAACTGTGAGAACTGCTTCTTCTAAACATGAAGGAAAAGCAGAGGCAATGGTCTGTGAAAATCAAATCTTAAAGAATACTGTTTTACAAGCCTAAAAAAAAGGCGATGTATTTCATCATGAATGGAGTAGCCAAAAAATCACTTTACCAGTTTTATAAGTAAGTAATAGTATCTACAGAAGGGTATGTCCTTGAGGGAGGATGAGAATTGCAAGACCTCCTGTGAGGTAGTGAGGATGCTTTTCCTGTGGCTCAGGCTTGTAATGAATTCCAAAGTAAAGAGGAATAAGTGACTGTGGATAAGTGGACATCTGTGCGTATGGTCTCACAGTCTGTAGGACTGTGGAAACAATTAACTTTAGAACTTCAGTGGAGGGGGCCAGTGACATAAAAGAGGAGAACTTGACATGGTTTCCAAAAGTCTTCCGGGATGTAAACTAGAATTTGAGCTCTTACAAGAAGGAATATCTGATGTTTGAAGTGTGAGACATTTGAGCATTAGAATGGCGTGGTCTACCGAGTTACCAGAAAATGTTGGAATAAAAACAGTGTGAAAGATCACCCAGGGAAGGCGGTATGTGTGAGAAGTAATAACTACTGTTTACAGATGGAATTCATGATGTGGAGACATTTTAAGAACCGGAGGAAAAAGCAGTAAGATAGACATTATTTTCTTTGAAGAGAGGAGTGACTATGGAATGTAGTAGCCATACACTGCTATGAGTAGTATTAGCCTTGCCAGAAGTATCCCTGGCCAGGCTGCCAGAGAACATCCATGTTTGAAAACACTTTAAAAGAGATACTCTTAAATAATGGCTTTCTCCTTTTCAAGAGCAAGAACTCTTAAACCATACAATATCACAAGAGCAATTTTTTGATGATACTCAAGTTTCATTCTCTTCTTAGAGTACACCTCAAGGTGCAAAGGATTTCAGGATTTACTCCCAAGGTCATACAGTTGACGGGCAAGACTAAGTTTATTGCATTTGACATACTTCATCTCTAGATTGCCATGTAAACAGAAGCTATACTCTTTGTTTTCATTTTACACCACATACGAAACTTCCATATCATTCAAGTCCCCTGCTTCTGTGACACCTCTAGTCACATGAGCTACCAGTTCTTGAGAAAACCCTTGCTTTTCTCCCCAGTGTAGACTATAGATACCAGTCATCTCTCTATTATCAACAGAACAGTCTTCATCACCTTTGGTCTTTCACTATTGTGCAACACAACCTCAAATCTATTATCACAGCAACAATTCCATGTTAACTCATTTCATTCTCCATATACTGCATAATGAATCTAATTCTGAATTTTGCCCTCTAACCCATTCTTGAGACATCAGTCTGGGAAGAGCATATTTTCCTAGTACTTGTAAAGTTTTCCCTAACTTTAAATAATATATCTCACTTGTTATTTCACAGAGACAGGAACACTCAGGCAGGACTAAAATGTCTGTTCCTATTCCCTACAAACAAGTCTATAATTGCAGCAACTCACATCTTTTTCCTTAGATTTTGTTCTATTCATTTGTCTGTTGTCAATCCACCTTACCCTACCCCATTCATCTACCTTACTTAGCAGTCATTTTCTCTTGTGTATATAAACACCTTACACTCTACCAGGCTGTTCTTTTTTCTTTTCCCTGTTTTCCTTTTCTTTACATGACATCAACTGTGTGTTTTTTTCCAGATCATCTTCCATTCATTGACAAATGATTGTCACTTGTGTTACTGAGTCAAGGTCAACATAGGTACAGAATCATTAAATTGAGATTCATTACTGTTAATGATTCTTAGATACTACATTGACTCAAGTGAGACCAGTCTACCTGGGGATTCTGAGCTTAGCACTTTGAGATTATCTAGGCAGTAAAATTATGATCAAAGCCAATATGACTCATTAAATAATTATCACTTTTGCTCAAATCCAACAATTAATGCTTGAGGGACTCATAATTGTAATATATAGTAAATATGGCATAAATATTGATGCAGCGTAGAATGGGGAGAAAAATATAACGATTATTTTCCAAATAATTTTATGAGGATATACAGAGATGACACCAACAAGTAGAGATTATATAGAGTTTCTACATGAATGTGCACTACTACTAGTTTCTAGAAGTATGAAATAGAGAAATAAAAGAGGTGAGTTTCTCAACTAAAAAAAAATGAAAATAATCCTAGAAAAAATGAGCAAAATAAGGCATATGGAAAACAAGTCACATTAAGCCAAGGTAGGCTGGCAAAAAGCCTTTTATAAACTTGCAAAATGTGAAGCAATTACATCACAATGGAGGTATTGTACTGTAAGGGAAGCAGGGTCACCCAAGAGAAGACCTTCTGGAGGGTGAGTGAGTAATTAGACATGTTATAATTTGGTGCTTGTATTTCAGGTTTATGAGATCAATGGTTATTTATATTCTAATAAAATGCTACCATATGTAAGAAATTTAAAGATATTTAGAGGTCTCTCCTCCATGGAAATAGTGATTGTAGAATCTCTAAACCAAGAACAAGAATACTTGACCTTTGCAGCCAGTGATGAACCAGAAAATTGACTTGAAGGATCCAAATGGCATTCTAGTACTAGCCTGCTGAAATACAAGAGAGGCTGAGGAGAGGGAGGCATGAGTTAGCAATTCATTTAAGGTATCTGCATTGTGTGAGGTAGGTACCTGTGTTGTCCTTCCTGGGAAGTGCAATAGAGGGGGGAAAACAGACAAGAGAAATCAAAAGTTACTGAACATTTATTTTTTATCTGAATGAGTACCAAAGATCCCTGCCTCTAACCCTTTGAGGAAAGATAACACTAAGTGCAACTGAATTCTATAAAAGCAAAAATAGCTGGGGTTATTTTTCCAAGTATTTGGCATATCAAGCAATGTCTGTTGTCTCTGAAGCCCCAGCCTACCATCTCTTCTTTAAGTTAGTAATTAAAAGATTACATGAGTTAAAATAAGACTCCATTGGTTTTGTCTCAGTGGTGACCTACACTTCAAATGACTTATACGAAGATTTAATAAATTATTCTCAAATTAAGTCTTGCCATCTCATTTTTAGTATTTCAAGGGATATGCATGCACAACACATCAGCTCGTGTGAATATCTTATGGCATTTTTAAAACCATTTAATACACCACCTATATAATTTGGATACTTCATATGACTCAAACTTAGTTTGAACATCATAATTTATATGCTCATATAGAAAGACGGTTTTAAAAATCTTGTTAATTACCAATGACCAATGTGAGTGATTTCCCCCTGCTACTTTATAGGAGTTTGAAACTTCATCTAGAATTTTAAAACAAAGTAAAGAACAGCTGCTACTAACTGAAGGTGCTAAAGAGAGAGCTCTTTATGAAGTATAACGAATTTTAGCATCTCTTACAAAGTAAATTGCATTTATGTTTCAATGGTATAAGAATCTTGTTCCTACCCCTGGTTGGTCAACCAGCATGCTTTAAATGGTCTGCAACTTACTACCCCTGCTCTCTTGGTCACCAAGTGACACCCTGTTGAAACAATTGCTGTGCTTACAAGTTATCTTATGTGTAACAATTTTTTGAAAACTGGGTAATTTGTACAAATTCTAATATCTGTAATGATATTTTTTACTAACTTTATGTCCTCAGGTTGCGTCATCTATGTTCATCACTCGAGTCTAAAATTGAACATATTCACATTACTATAGGAAAGAACAAAGCACAACACACATATAAACACACACACACACACAGTTACCACTGAGGACCCAAACAAAACAATTTTAATATCCTTGTCATGTAGAGACTCTAACCGAGTAAATACATTAAATTTCCTACGTTTCCACGCTGGAAGTATTAAGGCAATCTTAACTTCATTGCAGATTCTAAATCATATTCTTAGCACATAA